ATAAATTTACTTGAGACTATATTTTTATTCACCACATGATATGTGTTTTGCTTGGAGCGTATTGTAAGATATGAGTCTTTTCTTTTTAGTTTTCCACAATCATCCTTGCTGTACACACCTTTTGAGAGTGACACACATTAATCGTGAATTTATTAGAATACGCTATGTGCTTCACTTATATCTTTTGAGCTAGGTAGTTGCTTTAGTGCTTCACTTATATCTTTTTAGAGCACGGCAGTGGTTTTATTTTATAGAAATTGATGAACTCTCATGCTTCACTTATATTATTTTGAGAGTCTTTAAACAGCATGGTAATTTGCTTAGGTTACGAATTTAGTCCTATTATGATGGGCATCCAAGAGGGATATAATAAAAACTTTCATATAAGAGCATTGAATATTATGAGAAGTTTGATTCCTTGCATTTGTTTTGAGATATAAATATGGTGATATTAGAATCATGCTAGTGGGTAATTGTGGATTGATAGAAATACTTGTGTTAAAGTTTGTGATTCCCATAGCATGCACGTATGGTGAACCGTTATGTGCTGAAGTCGGAGCATGATTTATTTTTTGATTGTCTTCCTTATGACTGGCTATCGGGGACGAGCGATGATCTTTTTCTACCAATCTATCCCCCTAGGAGCATGCATGTAGTACTTTGCTTTGATGGCTAATAAATTTTTGCAATAAGTATGTGAGTTCTTTATGACTAATGTTGAGTCCATGGATTATACGCACTCTCACCCTTCCACCATTGCTAGCCTCTCTAGTACCGCGCAACTTTCGATGTTGCATTAAACCCACCATATGTCATTCCTCAAAATAGCCACCATACCTACCTATTATGGCATTTCTGTAGCCATTCCGAGATATACTGTCATGCAACTTCCACCGTTCCGTTTATTATGACATACACCATCATTGTCATATTGCTTTGCATGACCATGTATGGCATAGTATTTGTGGCAAAGCCAACGTTCATATTTTTTATACATGTCACTCTTGATCATTGCACATCCCGATACACCGCCAGAGGCATTCATATAGAGTCATATTTTGTTCTAGTATCGACTTGTAAGTAAATAAAAGTGTGATGATCATCACTATTAGAGCATTGTCCCATGGGAGGAAAGGATGATGGAGAATGATTCCCCCACAAGTCGGGATGAGACTCAAGATTTAATAAATAAAAGGAGGCCAAAGAGCCCAAAATTAAAATAAGTGGCCAAAGAGCCCCAAAAGAAGAGAAAACAAAAAAATGAGAGAAAAAGAGAGAAGGGGCAATGCTACTATCATTTTTCCACACTTGTGCTTCAAAGTACCACCATGTTCTTCATGATAGAGAGTCTCCTATGTTGTCACTTTCATATATTACTACTGAGAATTTTTCATTATAGAACTTGGCTTGTATATTCCAATGATGGGCTTCCTCAAATTGCCCTAGGTCTTCGTGAGGAAGCAAGTTGGATGCACACCCACTTAGTTTTGTTTTGAGCTTTCATACACTTATAGCTCTAGTGCATCCGTTGCATGGCAATCCCTACTCACTTGCATCGATATCGGTTGACGAGCATCTCCATAGCTCATTAATTTGCCTAGTTGATGTGAGACTTTCTCCTTCTTTTTGTCTTCTCCATAACCACCATACTCTATTCCACCTATAGTGTTATATCCATGGCTCACACTCGTGTATTGCGTGAAAGTTGAAAAGGATTGAGAATATTAAAAGTATAAAACAATTGCTTGGCTTGTCATCAGGGTTGTGCATGATGAGATATTTTGTGTCATGAAGATAGAGCATAGCCAGACTATATAATTTTGTAGGGATAACTTTCTTTGGCCATGATATTTTGAGAAGACATGATTGCTTTATTAGTATGCTTGAAGTATGATTGGTTTTATGTCAATATTAAACTTTTGTTTTGAATCTTATGGATCTCAACATGCATGCCACAATAAAGAAGATTACATTGATAAATATGTTAGGTAGCATTCACACTTCATAAATTCTTTCTTTTATCATTTACCTACTCGAGGACGAGCAGGAATTAAGCTTGGGGATGCTGATACGTCTCCAATGTATCTATAATTTATGAAGTATTCATGCCATGTTTGCAACAATTTTATATGGTTTTGGTATGATTTTATTAGAACTAACCCGGACTAACGTTGTTTTCAGCAGAACTACCATGGTGTCGTTTTTTGTGCAGAAATAAAAGTTTTAGGAATGGGCTGAAAATTTACGTTGATTTTTATGGACCAAAAGAGGCCCCCGAAGTACCAGAACTGGGCCAGGAAGTGACTGGGAGGCCACAAGCCTGGGGGCGCGCCTCCCAAGCTTGTGGGCCCCTCGGGCACCCCCCGACTTGTTTCCAACGCCAAAAATTCTTATAAATATAGAAACCTCCAAAAACAACCCTAGATTGGAAGTTCCGCTGCCGCAAGCCTCCGCAGCCACGAAAAACCAATCGGGAGCCCGTTCTGGCACCCTGCCGGAGGGGGAAATCTTCACCGGAGGCCATCTTCATCATCACGGCGGTCTTCATGACGAGGAGGGAGTAGTTCACCCTCGTGGCTGAGGGTATGTACCAGTATCTATGTGTTTGGTCTCTCTGCCTCTCGTGTTCTTGATTTGGCACGATCTCTATGTACCGTGAGCTTTGTTAATATATTTGGATCTTATGGTGTTTTTCCCTCTCTACCTTCTTGTGATGAATTGAGTCTTGCTCTTTGAGGTTTCTTATGTTGGATTGAGTATTGGATTTGGGAACACTTGATGTATGTCTTGCGATGGGATATCTGGGGTGACAGTGGGATGTTCTATTGATTCACTTGATGTATGTTTTGGCACTCAACTCTCGGATTCCCGAGGTGACATTGGGGTAATCTATGCATTGGGGTTGATGCACATTTTCGTCCTATGTTCTCCGATAGAAACTTTGGAGTGATTCTTTATTGCACGTTGAGGGATTGTTATATGATCCAATTATGTTATCCTGTTGAGAGATTTTGCACTAGTGAAAGTATGAACCCTAGACCCTGTTTTCAAGCATTGCAATACCGTTTTTGCTCACTTTTGTTACTAGTCTTGCTGTTTTTATATTTTCAAATTACAAAAACCTATGTCTACTATCCATACTACACTTGTATCACCATCTCTTCGCCGAACTAGTACACCTATACAATTTGCCATTATATTAGGTGTGTTGAGGACACAAGAGATTTCTTGTATTTGGTTGCAGGGTTGTTCCAGAGAGACCATCTTCATCCTATGCCTCCCACGGATTGATAAACCTTAGGTCATCCACCTAAGGGATAATTGCTAACTTTCCTACAAAACTCTGCGCTTGGAGCCCAACAACAGTCTACAAGAAGAAGATTGCGTAGTAGACATCGGTTGTCCGGCGACGCAACCCTCTGCAGGCTACCCCACGCTCCTTGTGTGTACTGGCCTGCCTGTTGAGGCAGAAGTTGCTGGCTCTCGTTCACCATGGCCACGCGAGACGCCTCCTCTCGTTCCGCCGCCACGTCCCTGGCCTTCTTCATGTTGAGCCTGTTTTGCCGATCGTTGGCGACCATCGCCCGGCGATCAACGTCGGCATCCTACTGGGCGTTCGTCGGCTTTGGCTGGGTGGGATCGGTGGCTAGGCGAGGGATCGCGTACTTCTTCGGCAGCATGGCGGGCAGATCTGGGGAGAATGGCGGGAGCTGCGAGGGAGATGGGGGTTGGTGGGACGAAAAAGGAGGGAAAGGTGAAAAAAACGGCGGGAAAATCGAACGGTGTCGCCGACAGTGCGGGTCAACGTGCCTTTTTGCTTCAGCCAGGCACCCGCCGATGCGTTGGTTTCAGCTTGGGTTCGCCGGATATAATTTCGGCCCGATCCGGCGGAAAACGAGGATTTAGGGGCGCGGCTGGGAGATTTTCGTTCGCCCGGCGGAAAAAAAAAGGCGCCCTGGGGGCGGCTGGTCTTTTGTGCCTCCGATAACCATTCATAGAGTCTGTCCCGAAATACCTCATGTACTAGAGTGGTTCCAATTAGGATTTCCCACCTCTTGTTGGCGCCGTCGCCGATCCGTCTCGTCTTCTGTGGTTTTGGGCCATGAAGGTGTGGTGGATCGCGTCCCTTGCCGGCGGTAGGCCTCCTGATCCTTTTTAGTTTTTTTTAGTTTATCTAGGGTTTGTGTCCTGCTCAGGAAAGCGAGACGGTGGCGGCTCACTGAAAATGGAATGAGATTCTCCGCGCCTAGCCGTTCCGATGGAGCGTCTAGCATCATCAGAAAGTGTGTGGAGGTGTGTCTTCGGTGGATCTCACGAAAATTACTTGGTGTTTGTCTTCGATGGATCTGCTTTGGTCTGATTTTTGTTCGTCTGCGTACTTGTGTCTATATGTTTGATCCTTTTGATCTCGCTTCTCTTCATCGGTGCCGGTTGTTATTCTAGTGCGCTGGTCCTTTGGACCTTAGCACGACAACTTTCCGAGTGTCTACTAAAACAAGGTTTGCCCGGCTCCAATAAGGGAGGGGCGACGACGGCAACGTGACTTTATCTGGCTCGAGTGCTTGTAGTCATCGGTAGGTGGTCTATGGATATAAATGTAATTTATTGTATTTTCGGTATTCTTTATATTGCCATGATGTTTGATGAATTGACAAACGTGCTGGAATATATATATATATATATATATATATATATATATATATATATATATATATATATATATATATAAAGACCATTCCTTCATGCGATAACCAATCGACAAACGTGCTGGAATGTTGCCACTAGCTGGGTGATGAACAGCAAATGTAAAAATCACAGTGAGAAACAACACGAGATCAATGATTCGTTGATATTCCATACAACAGTGGGTTGTCTATACGGGTATACCTCGTCGCCCACGCGTGGGATAACGGGATGGGACGGTGAGGCGCCGCCTATTTAGACTGTTGCTGGCCACAGTACGTGCCACTCGCACTCAGAAACCACAAGCCACTCGCCACATGGAAATGGACAAGCACGGTCGACCTCTGCTTGCTCTGCTTTCGCTACTCCTCTGCATCTCCCTGCTCCGGGCCAGCTCGGCGGCTTCCGTCACCGCCGGCAACCCCGACGGCACGGAGCTCTGGGGATTCGTCGAAGTCCGACCAAGTAACGGCCTGCTCTGTCGCTTGCATTTTGCAGCATCTCGATCCCAATTTTCTCTCATCTTTTACGCGAGAATTCTTCTGAAACTCTGTTTCTGCGCTGCAGAGGCCCACCTGTTCTGGTGGTACTACAAGAGCCCCCAGAGGGTGTCGACGCCGTCCAGGCCATGGCCGACCGTCCTCTGGCTACAGGGCGGTCCCGTACGGTCCATCTTCCTCCCCTCCGCCAGCTTCTCATGCAAGAATTCTGGCTTCAGCAAGAGCTAATCATCTCGGTCTTTCATCTTATTATTGGTCTCAGGGAGCGTCGGGGGTGGGCATCGGCAACTTCATGGAGATCGGGCCCCTCGACGTCAACCTGAAGCCTCGAAACTCGACGTGGCTGCAGAAGGCCGACCTCATCTTCGTGGTATCCCTACCACACACCTTGACGCCCTCGTCTTCTTTCTCTCGCCTCGCTGTTTTTTGGCTGCGATACCTTACCAACCGAGTACGTGCGTCAATGGCAGGACAACCCTGTGGGGGTCGGGTACAGTTACGTTGAGGACGACAGCCTGCTGGTGACGACTGACTGGCAGGCGGCCACGGACGCCACCACGCTGCTCAAGGCGCTCGTCAAGGAGCTGCCCACCCTGCAGCAGGGGAGCCCCCTCTTCCTTGTCGCCGAGTCCTACGGCGGAAAGTACGCGGCCACACTCGGCGTCTCCGTCGCAAGGGCCGTCCGTGCCGGCGACCTCAAGATCAAGCTCGCAGGCGTCGCGCTCGGGGATAGCTGGGTCTCGCCGGAGGATTTCACGGTGAGCAAATCGGTCATTTGCTGGAGAGCGCACGATCTAGTGTGTGGAACTGATTGGTGGTTTAATTGGATCGGTGCAGCTCGCTTACGCGCCGCTGCTCCTGGAGGTTTCGAGGCTCGACGACAACGCCGGCGACGCCGCCAAGAAGTAAACACGACTGCACCGTCCTCTTAAATTTCTCAGTTGTTGCATTGCATGCTTCCCGGGGCTTTCTTTTCGGAAGAAAAAATTAAATTGAAAACAAACTGCCCGGTCACATGCGCGCGCGAATTGTGGCCTCAGGAAGGCGGCGACGGTGAAGGAGCAAATCGCGGCCGGGCGGCTGGCCGACTCGCAGGGGTCGTGGTCGGAGCTGTTGGATTTCATTGACTCCAAGAGCGCCAGCGTCGTGAGTGTTGACTCTTTGACCCTTGTGCTTGTCATTTCCTTTGCTGACGGATAGCAATAATGCAATTTCAATTTGCAGGACATGTACAATTTCCTGCTCGACGCCGGCATGGACCCGGTGGCGGCGGACCTACCGGCGACCTCGTCGGCTCCGACGACGTCGAGCAACGCGCAAGTGATGAAGTACTCGACGTACCTCGGCGGCAGCCATGAGGAAGCCGGCTCCAACACCACCAACACCCTCGGCGGCATCATGAACGGGGTCATCAAGGAGAAGCTCAAGATCATCCCCAAAGACCACGAGTGAGCCTGCGTCGCCATTAGCAACAGCTCGCTTTCATGCTCTAGTTTACAGTTACACCCAGCACATGATATGATGTGACGTCCCTGTCCCAAACTGCAGGTGGCACGAGCTGTCCGATCCCGTCTACAACGCGCTGGTCAACGACTTCATGAAGCCACGGATCGACGAGGCGAGTGATCCAGCGCGGGATCCCATGAAAGGATGGATGGATCTTCAAGATGTTAAACTGCACATATCGATGCAAACGATGGCTTCTGGGTTGTGACTGATTTACTCTCTGCTTTCTGCTTGATCATCCAGGTTGACGAGCTGCTGTCTTACGGTGTAGATGTCACGGTTTATAATGGCCAGGTGAGGTGACTGCTTCTCTGCAATCTGCATTGCTTTTACTCTCTTCCACTGCATCGATCTGCATCGTTGTTTTTACTCTTTTCCAGCTCATAAAAAGCCTCGACAGTTGCTTAGGATACTTACTAGAAACACATTTAGAATGCCATAATGAGCTCACTGGTTGTTTGGCACAAGTCCTAACGACTAATGGGCGTATCCACATGCACTCATGCTTACTAGAATAGCCCTACTCTGAAACACATCTGCAAACGGAAGCACCGTGAGGAGTAAGCAACCGCGATTAGGAGAGAACAAATTTGTGTTAGTGACGACGCGGACAGGCTGTTGTTCAGAAAAACCGCCGTCCTTGAGAGAACCTTCCATTTTTTAAGCTGAATGACAACCACTCCCGCGGGTCCATGCCAAAAGAACTCCAAAAGTTCAGAATAGTATACAGTGTGTCGCGCAAGTGACAACTCTGTCTTTCCCCAGATTGTATTGGTCGGAACAGATCGTCAGATGCTCAGATCGCATCAGCGATCGGCCATCGATCTACTCGTCTCACATGTACATGGTCAACAACACAGTGGAGTGAAGCAAGCCACTTCAGCTGAAACGTGCATGTTGCTTAAACTGCAGATGCTCTTTTCAGCTATTTTATTTTATTTATTTATTCCACTGTATATAGCTTTAACACGCATATAATTTACTTAGGGCATCGTCTGTGTGTGGTTAGAGGGCGCTCTTAATGTTGTATGTTCTTCAGACTGAGCTTAGTGGAATTTTATTTTCTTTACTTGTATTGTACTCCCTCCATTCTAAAATAGATGACCCAACTTTATGAAGCTCGACGTGATTTGCTCGACCAAGGGCGCGGAGGCATGGGTGCAAAAGCTCAAGTAATCAAGCCTTTCTCCCTGACCACTTTCTCTAGATTCTTGCAATATTTAGACTCGGCTTGTGCCTCTAAATTATACAATGTCCTACTTTTTAGATGGGACGGGCTGAAGAACTTCCTGAGCCTGCCGCGGCAGCCTCTGTCCTGCGGATCATCCAAGGTCACCAAGGCCTTCGTCAGGTCCTACAAGAACCTGCATTTCTACTGGATCCTCGGCGCTGGCCACTTCGTAAGTCGCGGCACAACACATGCCACTCGCCGCTGCTGGCGAACAGAATGTGTTTTGCTCATTTCTCGTGTGATCTGTGGTGCTTTGCAGGTGCCTGCCGACCAGCCTTGCATTGCGCTGAGCATGATCGCTGGCATAACCCACTCTCCAGCCGGCTAGGTGAGGAGGAGGACCCGGATCAGATCCTGTCTGCCGGGTAGGAAAAGGAAACTGAAGATAGAAGTATAGAAAGAAAGGTTGTGTGTACTTTAAAGGGCGATGAAATTGATTGTAAGGTGCGTTGGTGTGTGAGTGGGGTTAAAGCTCGTCCGTTTTATTCTCCGAATAAAGATGACACCTTTTAGAGCTTCTTTCACGGTTTTAGTATGAAATTTATGTTTCATTTTTTGGCAGACATTTGTAGAAATGCGATGTTCAAACATCTCACACAGCGGTACAAAAGGCGAAAAGGTATAACATCAAAATGGAAAGAACATCTCCAACAACAGCCCTATTTTAGGGCACCAAAAAGCTGTTGCAGTAAAATTTAGAGGCACCAAAAGGTGAATTTTAGGGCATTCGAAAATGTTCATCTCCAACAACTGCCCTAAAATAGGACACTTCAAACATGCAATGTTTATACTACAAATGGTAGAGGCCTTCTTGGGGGAGCGTTGTGCTCCCCTGGGAGGAACGGAGCCGGAAAATGAAAGGCCTTCGCGTTCGGAGGAGAGAACCTCCAAGGCGTCATACGTTAGTCTAATGAAATCACAAAATCGCGGAAAAGTTGGGCAGGGGGTCAACACCGCCCCTCCGGCTGGGGATAGCTCGGCTCCGCGGGGCCAATTTTGCGTACTTGCTCAGCGTGCCCCCCTTTCGTCGAGTGCCCCGCATGGTTCACAAGGTTGTCGGCCTACCAAGCAAGCATTTGCCCGCTGCTCCTGCCGCCTGCCAAGTGGGCTCCACGCTCGTTATACTCATTGTTCTCTCTGTTGGGCCCTTTCCTATTGCTCTAACCATAAGCTATGACAATTCCAGCTTGCACCCACTCTGGCCCACCTAGTGAGGCCCGAGTGAGCTCAGTGAAATAATTTCTTTTGAACATTCAAACATTGTAGAATTCACTTCAAAGTTCAAACATTCAAAGTTTTGAACATCCAAACTACTAGATCACCCTAAACATTACCACGATCGACTCCTACGGACAACCTCCCAGTCAATGTTGTGGGACTCGTCACTCTCCTCGCCACCACTCTCACGCGCAAGGTCATCCCAGTCAATGTCGGAACCCTCGTCGCAGGACCCTCTCCTCGCCACCACCTGGCTGAGCCTCCATGTGGCAATGGCGTAGGCTCGTGCGGCCATGTTGTTGTCTCGAAGGTGTCGAGCAAGTACCGTCCTCCATCACACTGAAACTCGACGTTGAAGCGACCGGATGGTGCAAGACGGCGGATCCAGGCAGAGGGGCGGCGGATCCAGACAGCGAGATGGTGCAAGACGGCGGTGATGGCCAGATCCGACCGGATTCGCTGGGACAACGGCAACGTAGGAGGGTTTGCAACGGCGGGAGGCCGTGGAAGTTTCCGTATGTGCCGGTCATGGGATCCAAACACCTTCCCCTAGCTTTTGTACAGAAATCAGTTTTTATAGACCATAAAAAAAACCAGCTTTCTTAGAAACTAAAACACCTCCCCCCAGCTTTTGTACAGAAAACAGTTTTTATAGACCATAGAAAAAAAACAGCTTTCTTAGAAACTAAATCACCTACCCCAGCTTTTGTACAGAAATCAGTTTTCATACAACATAGAAAAAACCAGCTTTCTTGAAACTAAAACACCTTCCCCCAGCTTTTGTACTCAAAAAAAAAAATCAAGTTCAAGAAATAAAAGCATCTCTAGCGGATCCCTTAAAACATGCAAAACCTTAAAATGACCGCTAGTTTACATTATTTCGGAAAAGAATGTCCATTTCAGATCCCGTAAACTGGGTCGGCGGCGCCTTAAATTGAGCGTGCAATCTGTCGTATCTAAGGTTTCGAGGGCAAATTTTATGGTTTCCCTTAACTAGAAAAATGATTGGCGGGAAGGAACTTTCAGCTACAATGCCTCCCTTCCTCGTCGCCGCCGTTACCGGCTAAGGTCGATTCTGGCCATGCCCACCGCCGCCGCTCCAACTTCAACACGGAACCGCTCCCGCCGGCGCTCCTCGAACCGCTGCCTACTGGCCGTCACCACGTCCTGCCGCCACCGCGTGCTCGTCAAGGCTGTGGAAAATTCTGCCGCGCTGGAGATGCGCGCGGTCGCGGCCCGCCCAGCGCTCCTCGCCGGCTCGGTCAGCGCTGTACTAGCGCGGCCGGCTAGTACTCCTCGCCTCCTCGGTCGGCGCAGCTTCTTGCATGCCCATAGCCCGAGACGCTGCAGCGGGTTCCTGAGGCACGCAGGCAGCAGGAAACTTGAACTTATTTTCTGGCACTGGTGGCATCAATAATAAAAAATTAAATTTTGTTTTGTATCCGTCAGTCTAAACGACGAATCCGTTGAATTGAGTAGCCAACAACAAACAGAAAAGATCCTCTTTTATAAACAGAACGAAAATCATCTTCATCTATTTATAGAAACTAACATCCACGCACCCTCCAAGTGCAAAAAAAGTTGAACAATTCATCAAAGAAAAACATGGTTCATTTATAATAGTAATATAATTAGATTAAAGTGACAACACATTTCGCCTTCAAAATAACTTATCCGATAATCCAAGAAACAAAGCATGGTATCAAATCAAATCGAATTCAATAAATGATCATACACGGCGCAATTATAATAAGATAACTTATGACATCTATCAACCACCCTCCACCGCCATATCACCGGCTGCAAGCTCATGACTCGAATGACACCGTGTGCATGGCTCCAGGACACTCAGCTTAGCTGTAGGCGGGACTTGATCCTCAATGAACCTTCTTACAGCCACGACCGCTCTAGAGGCTTCCTTGAAAACAGTCTCGCTAATGGGCCTACACTTATTTTCCTCGAGAACAGTCTTGCCAATGGGCCTACACTTATATTCACCACAACACCTATCACTACCATCAAGGGTGTCCAACACAAGCAGCTCAAGTGAGACTGCCTTCTTGACAATGCAACGTGTGAGCTCAATCAAGCTCTTTGCAGAGCTGAACCCTATGATCTCCACACGTTTGAGTTTGAGGCAGACATGGCGGTCTTCGGGCAGCTGCCTCAAATGTAGTGAGGAACCTCCAAAAACTGATTCACGATCCACATATTCCTTATCCTTAGATACCTGAATGAAGATGGAAAAAAAAAAGGAAATTGAATCGATGGACGGACCCAGCTGAGTAACCAACCCAACAGAATGAACGAACAGTGACTTACATCCAAGAACAAAGTCTCCAAGGAAGGAGATGCATCCAAGAAAGAAGCCAGGTGAAAATAATCATCGGATTCTGTAATTTGAATATTCAGGTGCTTGAGGTGGATGAATTTGGTAGGCAGCATTGGTGTATTAACCACCTGCACAACAAATATATGGCATCTTCAGATTATTAACAATTATTTCATTTGAAATAAAGTCTTATGAGTAGTATTACCTCATCCTCTGAACCTATTTCAAGAGTCTCAAGATTTGGCATAATGGACGGCAGCTCAGCAAGAGCATAACTGATGACGTTGGGAAAGCACATGCACAACTCCTTCATGCACAATGCTTCTGAGAGTGAGAGTTTTATATTTTCTCCACTAGCGTAAATACTGGAGAGATTTGGAGCTTTGCACTCTATCAATTGAAGCATCCAGCATGAAAAAACACTCAGGCACCTGAGCCGCTGCAGCATGCAAGGTATCTTCAGAAAAATTATCTCCTTGCAATCATAAAGTTCCAACTGCTCCAAAGCAGGGGAGTTGGAAAGAAAGCACCCTACTTCATCCCCAGTAATACGCACGGAACACAGATGCAGACTTGTTAGGCTTCTCAAGGGGCCAAGTTCAGCCATGGGACGGAAGGCACTACGGCGAAGTTCAAGATACCGAATTGAGTTTCTAACTCCATCAGATAGAAGTGAGCATGGGAAGTTGTACTTTTTATATAGTACAAGGGTGAGCTCCTCAATCCCTGGTGTGACAGCAAACTGGAGCCAACTGTCGATATAAGGCAAGGTACGGTCATCATCAAATATATCAAGCTTCAATCTCTTCAAGCCAAATCCTGAGTGGTTTCTAATTATGCTGTCAATTTTGCGGCTAAAATTTGCTCCACCTCCCTTGGACTTGGAGCAAAGCGTTTGCCAGTCCAAGGCGAGGTTGGGATGACACCTCCAGGAATGTAGAAAGGCGCGAGAAAGGCAAGCAGCACGAGCAGCATCACGCATTGGCATTAGGGAATGTATACGATGCCAGATGTCCTGCATGCAATGGAACTCCAATCATCAGAGAAAGAAAAACAGTAGAAATAGAGGAACTATGCAACTTCTGCATTGGGTACAAATAGAACACCTAAACCAACAGAATCCCATGAAAGAGAATCAAGAAGTTTTGCTAAATACGATTAAATAGAAAAGGACTTCATGAAATAACACATAATTCAAAGAGTCATTTGTTAATCAATGTCCTAGCACGAATACTGAATCCAAAGAATAAAATTTTCTATCTAGACTTAATATGCCAAATAATGTTCACAGGAACTTTGTTACAGCACAACATTTCAGCATCACAGCACTAACACATCATCTATACCTTATAATAATAAAAGCAGTAAGGTTTCTTGTTCGTCCGTCACGAAAATACCGTTTTACCCTTCCACCAAATCACATAATACTGACAAGTACCACCTGTGCCACCCCTAAGTCAAAAACGGTTCAACGAAAAACTTCAGCAGATCCCAATCCCTCCCGTACGTCACCCGCCCACCGCAATGGAGATGGCCACTGCCGGGCGGTGTGGTGCCTCCTCTCCCACCCCTCCCCTCCCCGCCTCCATGTCCTCCGCGCCGCCCTCTCCACCACCGCTTACCATTCCTCCTGCCAAGCCTCCGCTGCCCTCACGGCCCCAACCCGCCATGAGCGCCTCCGACTCCGCTACCTCAAGGACCCCTCCCCCCCAATACCGAAAAGCCCATGATGAAGAAGGCGAGGGGCTCGCAGGGGCCAGAAGCAGCAGGGGAGTGTTTGGTGGAGGCCGATTTCCGAGCGGCGGACTGGAGCTTGGCGGGGCGACATGTTGCACAGGGCGTTTGGGTCGGCCGCAAAGATGAGTCTCCGGTAGTTCCTAGCGGCGAGGTGGACGCCAAGTTCTGACCAGCGGCGGCCGGCGTAAGGATCCCTTGCCTAAACACGTGGGGCGGCCATTTCCGCGGTTGTCAGCTGGCAGTGGCTGAACAGCCGGCCCTCTCCCCTATGTAGAATCTATCACAAGATGTAGGCCTCAAGGAGATCCCGCATCGAGTTTGGTTCAGACGGAAGCAGGTGACAATACATACATAACAATTACTATGACTTGCTGAAACATGCTGTTACTGCAGGCTTCCAAACCTAATAGAATACTGTATTCACTGTTTGGTAACCCCTTTGTTGCATTGCAGGTTGTGATTATGTTGTTCATCGATAAAGAAAATTATTGTGTGCTCTTAAGTCGTCAGTCAAGATTTGTACCTCGAATCTGGAGTTGTCTTGCTGGTTTAATATAGGTGCAAAATAACTCTTCTCTTATCTTATTAACCTAAATTCATATATCTTGTGCATATTGTTATGTGTTTAGTTGCATCCTCTTTTTAATTTTGAAGCCTGTTTTGGATAGAATAGAGGGAATTAAAGTTGTTGATTCAGCAACTATAAACTATATATGACTTTATGTGGCGAACATCATCCAAATTGCAGAGAGGCCAATTTAACAGATCATACTTTGCATTTGTGGCCACTGCATAAGTGGTGCAGTTTGGTGTTTGATTAGGACGTGAGTGGTGAGCAGAATACTAATTAACCGATAAGTCCAACGTTTTAACCCAAAATTTTCTAATTAGTTAGTTTGGTGGCATCAACCTGAAATTCTTTTTGTTCAGCATGTATCCAAGGTTGATGAGGATACTGAGAAATTGGGATATTGTTTTCCAGAAATGTTGTTGACTTGAAGATGAATCCTGGATATTGCATGAGCTGTAGATCACAACTTGAGTTGGCTCCTGCTTTTGCTACAATATACAGGGCAGCATCAAAGATCAACGGGTATATTATGCGCTACTTCATGTGGCATTTCTGAATTTGATGCATGTTTCATCTGTGAATTTCATCGTTGCTGGGTCGCAGGTGCTCTGGTCGGCGTTCTGATAGATGGCAACTGGCTTTGTTCCGTAGATCCGTGTGATCAGCAGAGTGTGTGGCTGCGGTGGAAGCCGTCCTCCAGTAGCCCTGCAAGGCAGTCGTGCTCACACCCCCGCAAGCTCCCTCCTCCATGCTTCCGTTCATTCCAACCCCGACGTCGTCTCACCTCTCCTTGATCTCACATCGACGTAGCTTAGTTCACGCCATAGCATGCAGCTCTAGTTCTCCATTGCTGTGTCGTTGGTGTTCTTGTGGACGTTCCCATGATGGGTGTTTTGGTAGATAGAAAATGGCATTTGCTCCGTAGTGAAGCACATGTGTAATACATATTTTCTTAAATTTGAATATACCTCAATCTTTTTGTCCCATTGCAACGCACAGGCATATGTGCTAGTCATACTTAAGCTATTAAGACTGACCATTTTTCATACTCTTATCAAACAAATATGCATGGTTAACATGATTAGGACTGCTCAATCTTATGTTCTAATCATCCATACTTGGCATGGCTCCCAATTGTTGTATCAGGGATCACATGTTACAGTTGTTGGACTTAAGAGGGAAATGGAATTTATTGATGCCTGCCATGCCTTATGGCCATTGCCGAACATAAAAGTGCAACCATCTTGCTAGGCTGTATTTTTTAAGGAAGCTAGATTTAATGGTAAGTGCATCAATACAGAAGCAGCTGACAATAATTTGACATACTCTATGCTTAAAGATATATGTTAAATGCATATTTACGGGGAGAAGACAAATGCAATCTCAATATGTTCAAGAACAAGTGCTATATAACTGACTTCAGAAAGAGTGGTGGGGCTGTTAGTTCAAGGCTGGACAGCTCACATAAGATCATAGGCTGTTATAATTATATTGTATGCTTTATCAGATACAGCACCTTTACCAACTACTATCAAACAGCATAAGCAGTTATATGTGTCATTGTTAGAGCATCTACAACCACGATTACCTATTTTGCTGCCCTATACACCCGCAGGCGCATCTGGGCGTGTCCGCTGGCAGTGCCCAGACAGAACCCATTTTGCTCCCTCCATAACCACAAACCACAAAAGTCGGAACCCTATTTCATACAAACCCATGGATAGTACTGTTATGACCGGCATATTAGGGGCTTAGCCCAGTGGGTTGTGGCCCAAGTTATCTTATCATTATTAGGGGCTTAGCCCAATTATCTTATCGTTATTAGAGTCGTTTGCTTAGGAGTCAAGTAAACCCCTCTATTTAAGGAGAGGAGATGTATCAATCTAACCAAGCAAGAATTAAGAAGGAAATCCCTTCCCTCTTGCCTGGCCGTGGGCAAAAAGGGCCCCGGCCGGCCCTCTCGCGCCCTCCTTCTAGCAGCGCCATAACAGTTTTGTATCAGCTAGTTTCGGTTCGATCATGTATGCCCGTCTCTCCCGCTGCCGGGCACCTCGTCGCCTCCGGCGACCACCACGACCGTCGCCCCGCTCCTGCCCGCGCCGGGATCCTCCATCGCGCCCGCCCCCGCCGTCCTCACCCTGGAGGAGGTGTCCAGGGTGCTGCGGGACCTAACCCAGGCGGTCCAGGAGATCCGCATGTTCTTGGCCGGGTCCTACGGGCCGCACCCGGCTGCGCCGCCCATCGCCGCCTCCGCGCCGCTATGGCTGCCGTGGCAGCCGCCGCACCAGGCGGCCTCTGCTGCGCTCGGCGCGCCGCTACAGCTGCCATTCATCGCCACCACCGCCCAGCCCTGGCTGCAGTGGCAGCCACCGCTCGTGGCGACCTCCGCCGCACCCGGCGCTCCGCTGCAACAGCCACCGTCGGTCAGCTCCAACGGGCCGCAACCGGCTGCGCCGCCCATTTGCCGCCACCGCGCCGCCGTGGCTGCCGTGGCAGCTGCCGCATCAGGCGGCCTCCGCCGGGCCGCTGCAGCTGCCATCCACCGCCACCACCGCCCCGTGCTGGCTGCAGTGGCAGTCGCCGCTCCTGGCGGCCTCCGCCCTGCCCGGCGCGACACCACAGCAGCCGCTGCAACTGCAGCAGCCACCGCCGGTCAGCTCTGCCGCCCAGTATGGGATGCCCTACGACGGGACTGCGACGACCTCGTTCCCATCAGCGCCGCCGCCGTCCCAGGGCGTCCACATCCAGCAGATCAAGTCCCCGCCGTCGCCGTCACCGCTTCCGTCTTGGATCGCTACCCGCCACGTGTCGGCGGCGGTGAGGCCGCAGGCTGCTGCCCGCGGCCTCCTAGCGCGTCGGCGTGTGCAGGAGATGCGTGGTCTGCAGCTGCCGCTCCTCCAAGTTGCCCTTCGCTGCACAAAGGACCTCGATCTCATCCGCTGCGTCGGGGATCTTGGGCATGCGGTTTCCCCCACGAGCGGCGGGCATGCTGTTTTCCCTGTGGGCGGCGACACCAAAGTCTGCGACATCAGTGGTTGGGGGGGCGCACCCCTCCTCGTCATTCTCCATCGCAAGCCCTCCACTCTTCCCTGTGCGGTGCAGACCAACAGCCATACACCTGCACTCCTTTCGTCCAGGTGGTGTCCATGGGATCCAGGTGGCTGTACACGTGCACGTCCAAAATAAAGCGTCCCAGTCTATTTCAGGTTGAGAGTAATAACACAAGCCGAGATGTAAAAGGCTTGTTTTTAGGTGTTAGGTTTGTGTTGCGTCGAGTCATGGTTATAAGTTGGTTAGGCTGCAGCTCGAGGACAAGCTGCATGTCTAGGTGGGGTGTAGTGTTAGAGTACGTAGCCTAATGGGCCCGTTAGTCTTAGGGTTAATTAGAGATAGGGCTCGCTTGCTTAGGGGTCAAGTAATCCTTGCTTGGGAGTCAAGTAAACCTCTCTATATCAAGAGAGGAGATGTATCAATCTAATCAAGCAAGAAGCAACCATTATTTGCTCGGCTTCCCAAAGGGAGCCGGGAGACCTAACCCTAGCCACCTCTTGCGCCGCCGCCGCCTCTTCTTCATCGCGCCACGGCGCCCAGCCACCGGCGACCGCGAGATCGCCCACGTCCAGCCTCCTCCTTCCCCTACAACCTACGCCCTAGACCCGGTAGGATCCTAGTTTCTACCAATTTGGTATCAGGTAGCTTGGGTCCGA